GTTTCTTACTGCGGTTATATGACTATTACTTTAATTTTTGTATAATCCTTTTGATTCAAAACATGAAAGTGCCATGTAATTCTACTTTACTTTGAATATTGAATGCAAGCAAAAATGTCTGTAAAAAAAATATGTGGTAAAAATAATTTCTGACTATGATATCAGGGTATCACAAATCATTTCTTGAGCTGGAGGATAACATACCAGACATAGAGCAAATCTGGCGAGCACAGAATTGGAATTCCTAATTAGCTGAGACCATGTGATATCAAGTCAAGCACATTATTCATTATACGTCTCCAACCATGCTCCAAAGATTATTACCGGCTCAATATCTCAATATTGGTTGTCAACGGCGCGCGCGTACATTTTTTATACGTAGGTATATATTACGAAAATGAGCCGAGGATGTACTTCAGGATACCCAGCTATGGATGTTTCATTTCAAACGGCATGATTGTCGCGAGCCAATATTTAATTATTATTTAGAAATACAATTTGATTAACACAATGGGATAAATTTAATTATAAAAAAAAATAAAAAATAAAAAAATTGCCAATATTGGCTATAGCCAGTGTGTGACCGGGACTTTGGCTTCTTGAGCCCGATCCATGAATTCTCACTTTCGGGGTGGTACAATCAACTAGGGATTTATAAACGGCGATAATAAATAGACCTAGGCCTAATGTGGGTTTGTGCCATTGTTGCTGTTTGGCTGGTCGAAGGGAAAAAGTTAAGTGGAATTCAAAGCTTGGTGCTCGGGGCATCAAATTGAACTCCCCATGAGGTTATCGCAACTGAATGATAAATCGTTTGATCTCAAAGTATATAATTCAGGTAACGCGTGACATTCTCGTTAAACGCGTCACACGCTCGTTAAACGCAAAATAATTGAACAGCTTCGATATCAAATAGCGTGTACTTTGGTTTTGAGATGTTTAAATTGAAACTTTATCACTGAGTTTTGACTTGTGCAGAATTAAAAAAACCACACAGTTTACATCAATTTGCATCAGACAAGCCTATTCAATACATTTCAACATAAGTTCAGATTCATCTTAAAACCACGAGTACCGTACAGTATCCAAACTCATCTTATTCGTCTCAAATAATACAAATTAATTAATACAGTTCTTATGAGAATTCGTGGAATACTTTAGCCCCTTATTTGTAGCAATGTTTTGTATTCGATTTCATATTAGAACCATTCTTTAATTTATGCACATGAAAAATAACATAAATGGTTGCATACTAAGGTATATGTACACAATAATTGCACAATATTAACAGGATAGCCTGATTCGAAGAATTGCAGCGACTTATATTAGCGAAGCTACACCTTCTGCACGAATACCAAACTTGTCATCTAGGCCGTGAACACGTAGCGATCAGATTCGCAAATTCCTGCGGATAGGTGACTTGGGTGCTGGATGTTTTCTGTAAACTCCCGGCCTAACATGGATCTGTGTCGTCTGCGGTATTGCGACTGGATTACAACAGCTGTCAGAACTGCTTGGAATAGTTGTTGTCTAACCCGATCAGGTCTTCGATCCAGAGTCTTGCCGAGCCCTAAGGCAAATAACAAAGAAATATCTTTTTAAAAATTGTTTATATTGACTGAGATGTACCGTACATTAAATCAAACTAATGCAACCTGACAAACGGCCGAATTGTACGGCAAAAGATACAATAAAAAATTAAAAAAACTAAATTAAAAAAAAACATTATACGATATACCTGAAGAAAAAAAATAACAAATTCCCTTTGTTGGTAAATCTGTGTAATTTTATTTAATTATTTATTATTCTAAACCATACTTTAGCGCGGTCTGCATAATAAAGGCGTGTTCCATATGCATGCATCATCTGCTGAGTTGCATAAACATACCGTGGCTTTTCTGTTGCCAGAAAGAAACACTACTAAATTCATTTTGTGTGTGTTCCCATTCCAGAAGAGGTTGTTCTCATAATGTAGCAGTCTGTATGAATGCTTTTCAGTCTTTGAATATTTTACCATCCATACATTAAGGTGAAAAGAAAAAAAAACAACAACAACCCATGGTTTAGGTCTACATTTAACCGTTAAAAACCAGTGTTTTAAAATATCAGGCCTATTAATATTGTGATAAATATAAACAGTGAGTCCCATTGGTTACAAATTAGATTCAACGTTCAAAAAGCCGAGATTGGATGTCAATCAAACTTAACAACTGACCAATCAGAACAGGGCCAAGAATACGCGCGCGTCTCACAAACACACGTGTTGTCCCACAAACGCACGGGGTCGCGTATGTATTTAACCATGTTTTTTGGAACCTTAGCAATTATTATTCAAGGCCGGGCCGGCCCTTAGCGGAATGGTCAACTGGAGAGAGGCTGATGAAACAAATGCCAGCTATGGGGTATTGTTCAAAAGGGAGAGTTAACATTGACATCAAATGGCAAACGGTAAAGACCGGGTCAGTGGAAAAAGAAACATGAACCAAACAGTTGTGTGAGACGAATCGAACATTCATTCAGCCCGCTGACACCGGAATGGCACTACATTCACAGTTAACATTGAACAAACAGCTATCCATCACGAATACAAACTGTAGCTAAAGGAACCGCCTGTATGACAAAATATTCAATATATTCATTACTAAGCAGGTGTTAACGACGTTTTTTTAAACGTCATCACACTTTACACCGTCTTTTTTAAATGCCACTATAACATTATCAATGTTGAACTTGGGTTGCTACGATACATTTCTTGCTTTGTACCGTAAGTCGTAAGATTAATATTTAATAGTCACGAAGAAAAGTCCCTCGCAACTGACGTTCAATGATTCTGTTTTCACAATCTAGAAAAAAAAATCGCCCTATACAAGTAATGGTCAAAAGAAACCACCAAATGCCAACAGAGTTAGATTACGAAGACGATTTAGATTTTATAAGCACAAAACGAAGAAGACCCATTCGTCAAAATTCAACCTAATCCAAATCGTAAACAAGGACAACATAGAATACACTGTCGTGACACAAGAGCGGAAACAGAGGATTGGAAAAGTATGCAAGTAGGATCGCTTTTAGGCGATAAGGAGGAAATTAACAAAAGCAACGAAACGTTTGGATTATGAGAAAGAATTTGGGAGGACACCCGACCCCCTTTCTTTTGGGTTCATCGATTCATTAAAAAAAAACACAAAAAAACAGTACAGATATGCAACTGCATCATTTTTTTTCTGTATAGACCTATACCGGTACACACATGATAGGCTTATGATTTACTGTAATAAGAATGAAAAAAAATTACCCGACTGTTTTCAAGTTTCAAGAGGGCATAAAACCTTGAATTTTGAAGCACTTAAAAGAGGGGTGTCATAAAACGAAGACCGAAGACCCCTATTTTTTCTATTTCATTTTGATGATAATACGCCAGGCTGTCACAAAATCAAAATTACGAAATTGTTTAAGAGTCATTAAAAGACACTTCAAAAGTCGGGAAAGCTCATTTCCCGCCATCTAGGACCCCACCCCCTTCCTTTATTTTTTTGGGGAAACATTCTGACCCCCACCCCCGTAAATATCAACCCAGATCCGCCCCTGATCTTATTATATATAAAGTAAACAGCCAGAGAGAAATGCCTCCCCTTGCTGATAGCCCTTCGTAGTCAGAGCAAAATATCAAATATATAGCCATATAAAATACATATATGATACAATGGTGGTGGTTTAGTGGCTATGCCGTTCACCTTGACAGGTCACAGGTTCGATTCCCGTCGGAGGTAATTTATCTCATAATTTATTTATAGAACAATATTCATTGAGGACTATTACTGTGCGATGGCAAACAACAAACAGGCATGAACATCTTTCGACGAAATGCAGTGCTGTTGATAATAATTTAAAGACGTAATAGTTTAAAGCTGGTAACCTCGATTATATGTTCCCCTTTCATTAAGATTTAATACTATATTCTACATAAGTTGGCGATAGTAGTTACACTATCTGTGAGGCAATTTTCGTTACTACATTAGCTGTTGAGCGTTCTACATTAGCTGGGGTTGATTTTCTTTTTACTACATAAGCTGTTGGTGTTTCTACATTAGCGGAGAGTTTTACTACACAAGCTGTGGAGTGTGCTACATTAACGGTTGTTACTACATAGCTGTTGTTTTCTACAACAGCAGTTGTAACACTGCCTGCCTCATGAACTAAAAGCCTTAAGGAATAGAATTCACTGTTCCTGTATCTAAAGGTTTTATACTTTTATACTACTATATATAAGAAAGTTATTACCTATCAATTAAAAATTGAAATAGGCCTAAGCTAAGAAATATGCCAAAATAAACGAAATGAATATTTCTGCGTTATTGAAATAAGTCAAAGCTTCCCGGGGAGGGCCCCCTCATTTAGGGACCACAGTGGAAATAAGTTGCTTTCTGTACTTTTCTGTGTTTTTATCCTTGAATGTTTTTACTTATAATTACTTCAGAATGAATAAATAAAGTTAAAAAAAAAATCAAATAGACCATAACATAATAATCCATCACTGCTCCGAAGTTCACATGCAGTGGTTTAACGTCATTTCTTCTCGTGGTTACTGAGACGTCAATAAAATGTATCGTCACTATCTCTCATCGCTGTTTATCCTATTGTGTTCAATTGTTTTTGTAGGCTAGCTATCATCCTCATTGTTCCATTGTACGTAACTTTATTACGCTGTACAGCTGCTTTAATCTGTCTAAACTTTAGTTTCCCTTTCTATTTCTGGCATAAACATCTCTATAGCAATTTTCATAGTATTAATTGTACAGTAATAGTAAACACAATCATCGCATTATATTTCCTGTTTATTTGCACCAGTGTTCTTTAGTCAATCGTATCAAAGTGATGCTATATTATTAACGCCACAGACAAAGAGTTCGCCTTCCGTTATCGAATGCAGTACTACTAACGATCTCTCTTTCGTCCTCATAACGTTTCCTGCTTCGTCCTATTGCTATATGACTATATAAACAGATTATTATCTGAGAATTACAGTAATATTGATCCCATGATGCTGATTAATCCTACGAGTGTCAAATTAAATCGAATATATTGACCTTTCTAGGAAGATCTAAAACTTAATAAATTGTCACAATACCGTGTTAAAAAAAACATGAAATTGTTCGTTGTGTGTGCCAACTTCAAGGAAAAACTGGGAATGTATTCCAATGTCACACTGAAATAATTTGTATTATATATACTTATTAATACTTCAAAAGCAACTCTTTAAAACAGTGAAACCATCCCGACGATGTGTTCGCAAGTGGAGGACGTGGCCTTGTGGTTTTCCCCATTCAAACAATGGACCAAACAATGGGGTTAAATCCCATTGTCCTAAATCGTTAATACATTAGTAACAAAAACCAAGGGTGTATTACTGATATTTAACTAAGGATTAAAAACCGGGTTTTTGCAATTAGTAATGGAATGTCGAGAACGAATGATACAATTGCTCTTAAGAAAAGACACTAAATAAAACATTGCATTACATCGACAGAAGATAAAGAAATAAATTAATATAGATACTGACCGTCTAAATCGGAATTCCAATCAAGTGTCTTAAAACTAACTCAGTTAGTCTGTGTGTGTTAAACACGTGGGGAAATTTTTCCTCCCAGAATGCTGTATTAAACATGTTTAATATTCTCAAGAGGACTTCACACCGTCTCCGACAATAACTCGGTTTCTGTATATTAACTTAATTTGGCCGGAATGCAATTCCGATAAATGGTTATATTTTGTAACACGATGACTATATACCTTTAATTTTATCACAAGGGAGTCTCCTTTTTAAATCCGTTGACAGTACATGGACCCTCAAAGCTCATCCTAATCGCTTGCTTGATCTCGATAGGAGAAAGGCTGGTAGATCCGTCAGATGATCCAGTTAAAGATGCCCCGTGAGTAGGCGAGGAGTGGTTCGAATCAAATCCATTTGATGTGGCGATTCCATTAGCGAATATACTCTTTGGTTTCTGCAAAGGGGGTGTCGACTGAAGGTTTAACTTATTTTGAGACGCATTCTTCACCGAATAGTTTGGATTGGTTCGTATTCTGCAGCGACGTCCACGTATGCTGGATTCTGGGGAGCTAGGTGAACCATTTAGCACTCTTGAGCCATTCACCTGATTGAAAGATGCCGGAAGTGACGCCTTACGTTGCATTGGTGGAAGATCTTGATAATCAAGCGAGTCTAAATACTGATGAAATTGGTTCCGAGAGTGCACATGTAGATTGTGCTGAGGACTTGGAGACTGGTGTCTCTGATGACAATGTGATTGGTGCTGGATAGCTCCATGTTGCTGTTGGTGGTGGGGATGATGCTGATGTCGAATATGCTGTTGGTTAAGTTGTAGATGAGACATGTCTTCTTCGACTTGCCTCACCGTTGACAAAGACCTCTGTTGAGTAATTCTTTCACAGTTATTAGAAGTAACTGGAGAAGACCTACTACGGGCATGACATCTTTCGGACAGGTGCTGTTGATGTGAATAGGAATGCTGGTGTTGTTTTGCAAAAACTTGGGAGATACCACTGGGTTTCATTGCCTGCTCAGCTGCCGCAAGCTCAGCGTGTAGAGGGAAGCCCTCGGCTATCATTAGGGCCTGTGCCATTGCTGACCCTTCCCGGACTACGGGTTTCTGGGGTGCACTATTCCTTCTTAAAGATGACGTTGCCATAACATGTTGTGGCAAACTTTTAATACCTTCTAATGGCTGAAGCTGAGGATGTTGTGTAACAGAGGTTGATTGCTTTTTAACATTAGAGTTACTATTTTGACGAGCGTGGCTGTTGTCTCGTAGAGATGGAGCTGATAATTGCCGTGGCAGATGTCGTCTGTTTGGTTTAGGAGATGGTTCCATAGTCTGATGTTTCTGCCTCTGCATTTGTTGTTCATACTGTTTTTGTTGTTGTTTTTGTTGTTGCTGCAGTATTTTTTGTTGATGCTGCTGTTGTTGTTTGTACTGACGTGGTGATCCAAAACTTTCCCTTCTTGGTGATTCGTTCTGAAAGGGGACAGAATTTAGTGACTGGAGAGACTGGACAGGTGCAGAAGTCTGAAGTGTGGGTTGGTTCGGCGATGGGGATCGCCTACGTGCTTTCGATGAGCTTTGTTGACTTTTCTTTCCTCCTTTATGTGGCATGCTGCCATAGCCAGTATAATGCGAACCGACTGAAGATATATTTTCTGGAATTGTTTGGAAGGAGGCTGCAGACGACACTTTAGAAGATGTATTTGGTGACTTGCATCGATCATTTATGTCTTGAACATCAAACTGATCAGGTGAAGAATGTTCATGAATTTGTTCTGTAAACAAATCTCCATACCCACTTGACGGAACATGTCCAGATGATCGGTTCGTGGAAGAAGTAGATGTAAGATTTGAAGAAGACTTTGTATTTGATGAATGAGTTAATGATTGCTTTTTATCAAAAGTAGAGTCGGGCGAGTCCGATGGTGTACTGCCTTCCTGTAAGCCATTTGAGAGTTGCCCTGTTGACTGCCTTTGGTCATTTGAAGACACTGATCCTCCACTTCTACTAGAGTGACTTCCACGGGGACTGTCTATAATAGGAACACCATAGTCTACTAAAAGCTTAATAACACTCTGATGCTCGCCTTTGACAGCAACACGCATTGCCGTACGCCCATGTTCATCAGCATGGTTAGGATCAGCACCATGTTTTAACAAAGCATCGACAACATCCATATGTCCCTCTTGGGCACTGATACACAGGGCTGTTGCCCCTTGATTGCACGTTTGATTTATATTAGCTCCATATTTCATCAATAATTGAACAACCTCTACATTTCCCTGCCAAGCAGCAGATTGAAGAGGTGTGCGCTTCTCATTGTCCATTGCATTAGGATTTGCTTGGTGTGTGAGCAGTAACGATACCATCTCGCTATGTCCCTGCCACGATGCAACATGCAAAGGGCTGCGTCCTTCAAGGTCGGGATGATCCACACCAGCTCCATTCTGAAGCAAAACATTTGCCATAGAGATTTTATTATCTAAAGAAAGCATGTAGACAGTAGTTCTTCCTTCTCCGTCTTTGTAATTAATATTAGAGCATTCATGAATCAAGAATTCAACTACTTCCTTATGTCCTTCCATTGCTGCAGAGCGAAGTGCACTACGACCGTCATGCCCAGTAATATCGGGGTCAGCGCCACTTTGAATTAGACTCACAACCACGGGTAGATGACCTTGTTCAGCAGCAAGGATTAACGGAGTCCGACCATCGCGATCAGTAGTATCAATATGAACCTGAGCACCTTCTTGAAGGAAAATCTCGATAACGTCCTTATTGCCTTCGAATGCAGCCATGTGCAGAGGAGTCCAACCTGCATGATCCCGATGCATTTCATCTAGGCCTCTTTCCAAAAGCATTTTTACGATATCGGCGTTTCCCTGGGCCGCCGCAATTGAGAGAACAGTTCTTCCATCATTGTCCATTGTATCAACTGCTGTTCCCCATTTTAATAACGTTCTGACTATTTCAACATGCCCCATGGAAGCTGAAGCTATCAAAGGTGTCCGGTTGTTTTCATCACAGTGATCAATGTCCGCACCTCCTTCTAATAACATTTCAACGACTTCATAATAACCTTCATAAGCTGAGACTAGCAATGGAGTTAACCCATCATGGTCACAATGGTCTACCTGTGCATTGCGCTGTATCAATAATTTTACAACCTCTGCATGACCTTCAGTAGAAGGAACACACAAGGCGGCGACGGTCAATGCAGTACGTCCATCTCGGTCCTGGTGGTTTATTTCAGCCCCATGATCTAGCAGATGCTCAACAATCTTACTATGACCCATGTAAGCAGCAGCGATCAGGGCTGTACGCCCTTCATTATCCACTTGGTTAACATTAGCATTATGTTCAAGTAGTTTCAAAACAATGTCTTCATGACCTCCCCATGCTGCAGCTCTTAGGGCTGTTCGCTTGTCAGCATCACAACTATCAACATTGGCACCAGCAGCAAGTAATGCAGTTACGACATCTGTATGCCCAGCCCATGCAGCTGATCGTAGAGGCGTCCACCCTTCGTGGTCTGTGTGATCAAGGTTTCCTTTATGCTTGATAAGTACGTCTACAATGTCCGAATGACCTTGACGTGATGCCAAACTAATTGCAGTTTGCCCAGTCTTGTCGGCAACATCAACGTCTGCACCACGATTCATAAGAACTTTCACAACATCCACGTTGCCAATAAATGCTGCATTAGAAAGTAAAGAGCGACCATTGTCGTCTACTTGATTAACAGACGCACCACCATCCAAAAGGTCATTTACAGACTCTGTCCTCTGCAAAGCATTCCTAAAAGTCACTGGATCGATCTCTCTACCAACCACTTTAGCACCAGCTTTGATTAACAGTTCGTTGACGGGATCAGTGTTTTTGGATGCCGTTACAATGCATTCCTCAACTGGAGCACCAGATTGCAACAGCCACAATGCAAGTTGAGAGTTGTCCATTGGAGGAGCAAGATTCGCTTTTAGCATATGTTCTGCGAATTCATACACCTGGGATGCATTTAATTCTTTGGCAATTCCACTGTACCTCAATGCTAGCATAGCATTTCCATCTGCACAACTACACAAATATTTCTGAGTGCAATGTTTTACGTCGACCAACCACTCAGTGAAACTATGATGAAATAACAAGATGTGTTCACCTCGAGTTCGTATTAAAATCCTCGACATGGTGCGTATTCGCTGGTTAAATTCCACAAAGGTCATGGCCATATTTCGGGTTCGAACGCACAAGAACAATTCCGCCTCACTTAGAGGGCGCTTGGCAACAAGCAAAACGTTCAAAATTGGTTGTATTTTAGCAAATTGCTTCCTAACAAAAAGTCTTTGACATAACCAAAGATATAGGCCATTTAATGTTCCAGGTATTTGAGAAATATCTGCCAAAGGAATAAAATCCTCACCAACACCATCCAAAACTTTTTCCAGGTACATTATACATCCATTGCTTTTAATATGCAGCTGGTTCAACATTTCTGCTGTCTCCCTGCTCAAATGATTGCGCAACGATTCTTCACGATCCAATCGACATAAAATATACTGCTGCACGTCTCGCACAACATGAGACTTGCGTAAGTCATCCAGACTCAGTTTTCGGAAACCTGTAAAAAGTCTTGTGACTGATTTACTCTGTCTGCGGGCACTACAGATGAGGTTTAACCAAGGTGGAAAGAATTCATGATGGTTTGACAAAAGTTCGGCGATATTTCGACTACCAGACTTTTCTTCTTCGTTTTTTGTGAATCCTTCATCCACAGAATCAACAAGTATAAAACAACTTCTTTGGGGTGGATTAAGCGATCTGAGTGGTAGTAAAATTCCATGTTTAAAAGCATCATCTGGGTTGTGTTCACACGCAGAAGGTTCAAGCACAGCCTGGATACTTGGATCTCGTACTTTTTCGTCAAAACCATGAATTGCTGTAGATCTTGAAATCTGATTCACTAATCCTCGAATGAATTTTCCCACAGAGAGAGTCTCCACATCGTGTGATTGACAGAAATGATAAGCTACAACTCTCCTACTCAAGTTTCTCTGTTTTCCATGGCTAGCTGTTGGCCAGACCATCTCGGCACAGAACGCCGTCTTGCCACTGCCTGGTCCACCAACAATTAATGTACCACATGTTTTAGCGTTCTGTCGATTCTCTAAACTATGTAATAATTTCTGAAAAGCCCATTCCCGACAGTAGAAGCGCTTTCCTTGCAGCATACAGTGAGTCATTTTTGTAGGGTAACCATGCAGGCAGCTAGTAGATCGCTAGTGGTAAGCATACAGATGGTGTATGTCCTCTCACATTCGTTGACAGCCAGTCAGTACCTGTGTAAAGATGAATAAAGGAATGAGTCAGTGGTATTATTTGGTTCGATTTGCAGAGAGAAAACTCTCTTGTTTCAGATGCAAATTGAATGAAGAGTGCAGCGAGCATTCACCGCAGAAATACAATGGAAGTAATGTACTGTAAATCGGTAAGCGAGGCACAGTGGTTGACCCATTCATTCTGTTGCAGTTACGAGACGGCTAGGATTTACCATACTGTGTCGGATACACTAAAGCTGCAACACCTCAGACGTGAAGGATAATACAAATCGTGTCAAAGCCGTTGCTGTTATTAGTGTTGATGAGAATTTCCCACAGTGTCGTATATAAATGTCTGAGCAGGAGCTATAAGCAAGGCAATAAGCCATCTCGTAATTAGCGCAGTGTCGAAGGTCAAGATATATAAACAATCATGTTCGCGCACAGAATGAATATTATGCACTAACTACATGCATGGTCACTTGGCTATGCTATATTATTAGTTTAGCTCCCCTGACCTTCGACAAACATGCGCAGTTTAAACTATCAGACAGCTTATGAGGATACGGTGATCCAACAGACACTGTAGGATGCTGTAATGAATTAAATGGTACTTAAACTACCACCTCCCACTAATGCATAAGCTCTTTTTGCGTTAATTTTTCAAGTTATTGATTTCAAAATTAAGGGCTTGTTGAAAGAGACCAATTGATGCGGACTTAATTTGAAACAAAATCAACAGAGGCTGTTTAAGGCCGATGAGTGCCTTGTCATATCTATCATGCCCACACATTCGATCACCTTTCAATTTGTGTTTGTTAGCCTATTTGTTAAGAATGAAAACTGAACTCTAGTTTGGTTCTTGTCAATACCGGTACTCAATTACATTTTAAGATAGGGAATTAAGTCTCGTGACAAGAAACAGTCACTTCCCTATCAAATAAATAAATAAATACCTCATGGTTTCGTTTATTAATTTTTTTATGTTCTGTAATAACGTAACTAGAAATATAGATCGTGAACGTGGGCCTACCCTCAAGAAACATCGCTGCAGGCCTTGAAATCTGGGGTAAAGATGCAGTTTGGTGGTAAGGAGCCCACCTTCTAATTACTAAACACTGGGTTCAATTCTTGCATAGGTCTATTTGTTTCTCTCCAATGAATTTCAGTTTCCTGAATGCCACGGAAGGACCCCTTTAAGTCAACACTGCTTTTAGTGCTACCCCAGTGAAATATTGTTGAATAAATAAAAATATATTAGGCTATTTTCATTCTATTCAAACGTTTATCTAGAAGTGCGGTATAAAAACAGTCTCAGGTATCAAAAAAGAAATCGTAGACTATACAAATAAAAATTTTTAAAAAAAAGCGCCTAGAGAAGATTTGTATTATAAAAGGCGGTATATAAATACGAATCCATTGTTACCATAAACACTGAGAGAATGTCATTCAAATAATATACTTCATTTAAGTACGACTGTATACTACAGCAATAGGACCATGTGCATACACAAATTTAAGAAATAGTTTAGTTAAAAAATACCGTAGCAATTTACGAAAGACATTCAGTTCTATGAAGCAAACTCTCTCTCTCGATCAACACAATCCATGTACTGTAGTTCTATTATCATCGATTAATTTATCTACCAATGCGCACTGAAGCGTGACTACAGTTGTCAATATACATCAGCAATCAAACCCTATCATATCTGCATTTTATTCTACTTCATCATAACCTTATGATATCATATATCGATACTTGCTTCACTCACGTGGTATAGATCAAGTGATATAGAAGCGTGTCAGAGATGATGACAGAGATACGGCGCCATAACTGACCAATTATAATACTTGTACCATACGGTAGATATACAGAACTTTACAGAGATGCGAGTGAGGCTTTCTGATGGGATATGCATCCACAAGATGATGTATAGTTGTGAGCGATGATATATTAAGCTACACGGCGTGGGTGATTTGGAAGCTTTAGGCATACGATACATGCTGCAAAAGCACATCAATTCAAAAATATTATTGAACAAGCTCGACGGTAGTAATACATTAGCCAAATGGCAATTCTCTTTTCAGAATAACACCATGTCTAGGGATTCCGGATTCAAGTAGTTTAATTCTCATTCCAAATATATTGCACAGGATATTTTTTCAACCTGACTATAGTATCTATGAATCCATATTCATCAAGTAGTTACGACAATAAATTTACCTGAACTAAAACGTAAGTTAAATTTCGTAGACACTGTTATTTCCGATAAAAATGCCATGGGATTGGTTTCTTTCTATTTAACAAGACCTTCGGTGGTTTCCAATGCATTAATTTTAGCCAGTTCATTTTGAGACATTTCAGTATACAACGAATTTCAGTGATCATGGACGGCGGACAATCTTATTAATTAACGGTTCACTGTACACACAGTCTCTACCTGGAGCCAAATTAGTTCAAAGTAACGATCTACAATACATCTGCAGTGTTGTAATTAATGTATTAATAATTCACACAATAAAATTATATTAAATATCTTTTAGTAATATAAGTGTACATGATACAGTAGTTAATGTATGCCTAGCTACATTTGGCTCTATACATCTTTTTTCAGTCCAACATGCCCAATATCAGGGAACAGTGAAATTCCTGCTAATATTATCCTCTTCTTATGAAGGCGATAGCTTAGACCAATTAATACAAAATATTAATATATATTGAACCTTTGACCTGAGAATTTTTCACATTGCTAATCTCGCATTCGTCTCGTCAGGGAGAGTGATTGGTTCACAACTAATCGACCAATTATAAATTTGGATGTAAAAAAAAACGCACATTATTATATACGGTACACATTATTAACCTATTAATAATGAACACTCAGCGGACATTAACAAGGCTGACACAGGCGATTTGATGACAAGAATATTTATATTGATGACATGTACCGTACACCATACAACACACATTTAACAAAGGTCATGGTTAGAAAGTTGGGGAGGGGTAAAGTAGGTAACAATTACACGCCTACATTAAATATACACACAATTATGTTAGGCATACAAATTATTTTGAAGCAAATTTTATTTTCAGCACTTCGAGTCTCGGACACTAGAGGGCGAAATTTATTCGTGTGATATATAATGGAAGGTTATATCATGGAGGAAATATTATTTTCTCCATGGTTATATGAATATTTTAATTTCGCGCACGAACACATCATGCTGTATCGACCTATCCTCTAATGAATAATGGTTATACTATTATTTGTATTATTAGGAAGTATAATCTAATTTCTACACAACACTAATTTAACAATATGGTTGATATACGATGATGCTCTCAAATTGCCTAAAACACTTGTCATACAGCCTGATTAACAAGATGATAGTCTGGATCGGGCTTTGGTTTTATGCGATCACAACCTGAGCGTTATTGTATCAAACAAGATCGCAGTCTAACTAGGATACTATAGCATATGTTTTAGTTAGGGTATATTCTGGGTAGCTGGGACAAAAGGTGATCATCGCCAGACCACCAATGTGACTACTGCAGTAAACAGTACTAGGATTTTCGGTATCAACAAACGAACAACAGTCAACAAACATTACAATCACAATATTTACCGGAAGTCGGAAAACATTTTCAAAACCGGTCATTACGTAGTGTCTGCTTGACGATGATAGAGAATCCAAAGGAGGAATGAAGATTCTAGATAGGATAACCAAGCTTCATATATCCACGATCCAATTCGACACTCCTTTGGTTAGTTAGGTGCAAGTTATTCTTACTGTTAACCAAGTAAGCAGACATGGTATGCAGTCTAGTTATGTATGTCAATACAAAACGTAATCATCAGCCTAGGTCAGGCACGGATTAGGCCATCAATACAGTGACATGATAATACAAACACCGCGGGGGACGAGTCCATTGGCTCACAGATTCGCTCATTTTACAATGCAGGAAAAGAGAATATTGCGATGCTAACACGTCATGTCATCCAAAACGCCAATATGAAATTATATATTCCATAAGTACTGTCCTCAAAACATACTGTGCGCCTACTCCGTCAGAATATTGTCAATTTCAACTGCCTGTACGTCGCGCATTCAGAGATGGGTGGAACTGAAATGACGTCACCAATTAAATCCCCATTAGAAAAATTGGACAGTGTTTCATAGAGAAACGTTTTCCTCGCTGCGTATCAAATTCATCGGATCAAGTTTAACTAAAGATTTCAGATTTCAAGATTTTGCTCATTTCGATGCATAAAATCATTTTTTGAAATTATTTTTAATATACATACTGGTACATACAAATTGGCCTACGTAGGCCTATTCCTGGTTTTGGTTGAATATTCGCTGTATCTTTATCAATGCATAATTGGATCATGATTGGATCGACTCAATTCCCAACATATTAAATTATGAAGTATTACCGGTACGTCACTGTTTGTTTATACTGTATACAGTATATATATACATTGTTCTCATTCTATAATAAAATACACACCAACTGGCCGCAAACCGTTTCGTATTTGCGCATGCGTGCATTCCACGAAGTATATTGCTGCCATATTCATTTATATAGGCCCTATGTGGTTTATTATAATATTCAGCACGAGTTCAATGTGGTTGATTGGTGTCCAGTATGCCTACAGAAACGGTAACCAGAGACTCACGCAGAGCAAGTCTTTCACCGTAATGCATTCCTTCGCGTGCCCTTCAAGCGCATGATTGCCCAATCACAGATAGTGGCCCCATCATCAATCAAGATAGAGCCTCCTTAACGTTCGCTATGGTACAGACATTCCACCATTTTAACTTAGTTATTGTTAAAGAAAAACCAATAGTTTTGCATACAAATATCGCTATCATAATTTTTATAGCAGAATGAAAATGCATATCAATACACTTTACTCAATTGAAAAAAAAAAAAATTAATAAAAATAATGAACAAAAGAAATCGGCAAAGCAATAGTCCTATAACCGGTACTTTAATGGACCCTCCAACTGAGGCC